TTTCTTTGGATTTTGACAGGATGTCTCGAGCGAAACGCTTGTTTTTCCCGGAAAGGGCTTGGGCCCAGGGTTCTCTTTTAGCTGTTACCCCCGGATCTGACGGGTCAAGCGCCGGCGAAATTATTTGCGATAAATAACGAGGTAAAGTGCTGATTTTTTTTCCCGGAAAGGGCATGGGCCCAGGGTTCTCTTTTAGTTTGTAAACTTAATCCCCCGGTGCCTGCTTGAAGGAGGCCGGCGAATTTTTTCCCTGATAAATAACGAGGTCGAAGGAGGCCGGCGAATTAAAATTTGAGGATGTCTCGAGCGAAACGCTTGTTTTTCAGAATTTCTAGAGGATGTCTCGAGCGAAACGCTGGTTTTGCAGAGTTGAGGATGTCTCGAGCGAAACGCTTGCTCCGCAGAGTTTGCCGAGGATGTCTCGAGCGAAACGCTTGTTTTGCAGAGCCGACCGCGACGCGGAAAAGCGCCCCGCGCGAAGGAATTTCGATGATGTCTCGACTAATTCGTTTGTTTTTGTACGATTTCCTGGAATTTAGGCAGGATGTCTCGAGCGAAATGCACGACCCCACCCTAGCACGACCATACCCCAGCACGACCACACCCCAGCACGACCAGACCCCAGCACGACCCCACCCCAGCACGACCCCACCCCAGCACGACCATACCCCATCACGACCACACCCCAGCACGACCCGACCCCAGCACGACCCTACCCCAGCAAGACCACACCCCAGCACGACCACACCCCAGCACGACCTCACCACAGCACGACCACGCCCCAGCACGACCACGCCCCAGCACGACCACGCCCCAGCACGACCACGCCCCAGCACGACCACCCCCCAGCACGCCCACCCCCCCAGCACGACCACCCCCCAGCACGACCACACCCCAGCACGACCACACCCCAGCACGACCACTCCCCAGCACGACCACACTGGCAGCACGAGCACACCCAGTCGCACCCCGTGGGGAAATGTTTCGTGGCGTGTCTGTTGAGTGGTTGCCTGTTCGTGGGTGTCTCGTGGAATGTTTCAAAGGGTGTCTCGAATGGAATGTTTTGATGAGGTGTCTCGTGGAATGTTTCGTGCGGGTGTCTCGTGGGTGTTTCGCGGTTTGGTGGCACGACCACGCCCCAGCACGGACCAAAAAAAAAAAAAAACCCCCCCCCCCCCACCAGCCACGACCACCCCCCAGCTACGTCCACCCCCAGCACGACCACCCCCCAGCACGACCACGCCCCAGCACGACCACCCCCCAGCACGACCACACCCCCAGCGCGACCACACCCCAGCACGACCACACCCCAGCACGACCACTCCCAGTCGCACCCCCGTGGAATGTTTCGTGGGGTGTTTGGTTGAGTGGTTGCTTGTTCGTGGGGTGTCTCGGGAATGTTTCAAGGGTGTCTCGTGAATGTTTTCGTGAGGTGTCTTGTGGAATGTTTCGTGAGGTGTCTCGTGGGATGTTTCGCGGGGTGTCTCGTGGGATGTTTCGTGTGATGTCGCCCAGTTGGGTATCGTGAAAACGTGACCATGCTGCACATGTCTTTATCCCTTTCCGGGTTCGTGGGTCCATCAGGTTTTAGAAAAAGTGCGTTTTGTGCGTGCCCGCTCGAGGAAAGTTCGCCCCCCATCTCGGATCCTCGATAAATAACGGGGTCCGCAGACCCCTGCTTTCCCTCGTAAAAAAGAGGGTGCGGAGCGTTTTTCGCAGAATCCTCGAAAAATAACGGGGTCTGGAGCCCCGACCGCGACTCGGAAAAGCGCCCCGCGCGCAGGAATTCCGAGGATGTCTCGAGCGTGCCGCGTCCCGCGCGCAGGAATTTCGAGGATGTCTCGACTAATTCGCTTGTTTTGTCAGGATTTCTTAGAACTTTGGCAGGATGTCTCGAGCGAAACGTTTATTTTACATAGTTCGGGGAGGATGTCTCGAGCGAAACGCTGGTTTCCGCAAAATTTGGAGATGTCTCGAGCGGGGGGCCAGAATTCAGAGGATGTCTCAGGCGAAATGCTTGTTTTCGTGTCCCGCTCGCGGGAATTCCAAGGATGTCTCGCGCGGGCCGCGTCCCGCGCGCAGGAATTTCGAGGTTGTCTCGACTAATTCGTTTGTTTTGTCAGGATTTCTTAGAATTTTGACCGGATGTCTCGAGCGAAACGCTTGTTTTTCATAATTTGTTGAGGATGTCTCGAGCGAAACGCTGGTTTCTGCAAATTTGGGGATGTCTCGAGCGGGGGCCTCGTGGGGGGCCAGAATTCAGAGGATGTCTCAGGCGAAATGCTTGTTTTCACGTCCCGCTCGCAGGAATTCGGAAGATGTCTCGCGGCGTGGCACGTCACGCGCGTGCGACTGGATGCGGCTGCATGTCCGTTAGCGCGTCCCCCGCTAGAGGATGGCATTCGCGCTTGCGACACCATGGCACGTCACCTTGGCACGTCGCCTGGCGCGTCCCTGGGGACGTTTTCGCGGCGCGTCCTCCTGGGCATCCCGTCGCGTCCTCCTGGCATGTCCCCCTGTCAATTAGCTCTGGGGCAGCTACTATGTGTGCAGGAAGCTCGAGCTTCAGATCCAGATCAGTTCGGTCAGGACTTGGATGCAAAGGAAGACTCGCGCGCAGGAATTCCGAGGATGTCTCGCGCGTGCCGCGTCCAGCGCGCAGGAATTTCGAGGATGTCTCGACTAATTCGCTAGGTTTTGTAGGATTTTCCGTAGGAGGGCCAAGGAGAGGCCCCGAAGGATCTGGGGCGGCGACGGACGACGACGCCGACGACGGACGACGACGACGTTTTCTCTTGGGGTTCTCTGGACGGTTTGTAGAGTCCCACGGATACATGATGACGGGTCGAGGACAGCGCGACGACGACGACGTCGCGGTGGCGGCGGCGTCCACCACGACGACAAAGTCTCATCTTAGAGCCTTGCGTGGGGGGGTCTCTGGGGGTTCTCGTGGAGGGTCTCTGGAGGGTCTGTAGAGCCCACGCTTACACGATCGAGGGATCGAGGACAGCGCGACGACGACGACGACGTCGCGGTGGCGGCGGCGGCGACGACGACGACGACAAAGTCTCATTTTAGAGCCTTGCGTGGGGGGGTCTCTTGGGGTTCTCTTGGAGGGTCTCTTGACGGTTTGTAGAGCCCACGCTTACACGATCGAGGGATCGAGGACAGCGCGACGATGACGACCACGTCGCGGTGGCGGCGGCGGCGGCGACGACGACGACAAAGTCTCATCTTAGAGCCTCTCGTGGGGGGGTCTCCGGGGGTTCTCTGGGAGGGTCTCTTGGGGGTCTGCAGAGCCCACGCTTACACGATCGAGGGCTCGAGGACAGCGCGACGACGACGACGACGTCGCGGTGGCGGCGGCGGCGTCGACGACGACGACAAAGTCTCATCTTAGAGCCTTGCGTGGGGGGGTCTCTTGGGGTTCTCTTGGAGGGTCTCTTGAGGGTCTGTAGAGCCACGCTTACACGATCGAGGGATCGAGGACAGGGCGGCGGCGGCGACGACGACGACAAAGTCTCATCTTAGAGCCTTGCGTGGGGGGTCTCTTTGAGGGTCTCTTGGGGGTCTGTAGAGCCCACGCGCGGTGGCGGCGGCGGCGACGACGACGACAAAGTCTCATCTTAGAGCCTTGCGTGGAGCGGTGTCTTGGGGTTCTCTTGGAGGGTCTCTTGGGGGTCTGTAGAGCCCACGCTTTCACGATCCGACGACGTCGCGGTGGCGGCGGCGGCGACGACGACGACAAAGTCTCATCTTAGAGCCATGCGTGGGGTGGCTCGGGGTTCTCTTGTAGGGTTTCTTGGGGGTCTGTAGAGCCCACGCTTTCACGATGAGTAAACTGCCACGCCGCCGCGACGGACGACGACGAGGTCGCGGTGGCGGCGGCGGCGACGACGACGACAAAGTCTCATCTTAGAGCCTTGCGTGGGGGGGTCTCCGGGGGTTCTCTTGGAGGGTATCGATTCGGGGACCGACTTCGGGAGGACATCGACGATTGCAGCCTCCGACGCGAGAATGACCGGCAGGGTATGCTGTCGGCCGCGGCCTTCCTTTTCAAGTTCATTTTTCCGCCCGCAGCTGCAGCGGGAGGAGGGGGCTTCAGCCGTCCGCCTCCCTCCGTGTGCTCTGTCGCGGTCCGGGGGCTTCCCGACGCCTTCGGAGGGGCCTCAAGAGGGCTCCGAGGGGTCCCAACAGGGCCCGTAGAGGGCACCAAGAGGGCCCCAAAGCAAGATACACGAAAGCTTTCCGTGTATCTTGCTTTGGGGCCCTCTTGGAGCGCGACGTCATGCGGTCATACGAATCTCTGCTGGCATTGGGCGCTTTCGGCCGGATGGGCCCCGAATGGCGGCGACACACAGGGAAACGTGTCGCTTTCCTCCTCCTTGCCCTCCTCTTGCTCCTCCTCCTCCCCCTTCCCCGTCGCCGTCGCCGCCGTGTCGTCGGGCCGTTGCCGCCGTCTGCCGTTGCCGCCGTGTCGTGTCGCGTATCCGCATGAGCTTCAACTAGATAGATTGGCACTGTGGGCCATCATATCTTGGGTCGTTGCGTGAGGCTGCGTTGCATAAGTGGCCGCTGAGGCAATATGGAGATTGATGCGCGCACTGACACATCACATTTTCGTGTTATTCGAAGAAAGCGTGCTTATCTTCCTCCTCGTGCAACTGTGCCTGCAATTTCATGTTCTGCATTGCAATGGCATTACATTGCATGGCAATCTCATTGCATTGCATTGCTTTGATTTGCAATCGCCTCGCATTGCATTGCATTGATTGGCATAGGTTGCAAATGTGTTGCGTTAGTTGTGACGCGGGTTGTACGTTCTTGCTGTCCGCACGTGCAGGCCATCACCGATTCTGAGGTGTCCCTTTTCGCGGGTGCGCTGCTCGGAACAGAGGGCGGATCCGTCATCGTCTGGGCTCAAGCGGCTCCAACACGGCTGAGGGTTCGCTCGCCGCGGCAGCTTTCGCTCGAGGTTGGACTGCGCCCAGCGCGCGTCTATGGGGCGGTGCAAATGCCCCGGGGGCGCGGAGTGCAAGAACGAGTTCCAGCATGCTCCGTATCTACAGGCCTTCGGCCTTTGACGCCTGAGTGCCTGGCAGGCCTCTCCGGGTGCTCATGTTTCTCTCGTGTTTCTCGGGGGGCTCCTGGGCCTTCTTGTCCCTGCGGGGCCTCTTGGTGTCCACTCGGGGCTTCCTGGAATTCTGGGTGGGTTCTCTTGGCGGGGATGTCGCGGATTCCGGTTCGTGTTCCCCTCTTTGGGTTCTCTCGGGGCGAAGGGTATGAATTAAAATATCTGTCCAATGCTACTTCGTGCCACAGGGCCACGATGTCGGATTGTGTTGGACGAGGAGGGGGAGGCTGCACTGCCTCTGCAAACCAGAGCCACGGAGAGAAATCTTGGTGCGGTCCCTGCCAGGGGAAGCGCCACGGGGTCCACAGCAAGCGCCCGCTAGCGCCAGCTGGAGATGCCGCCGGGGACGTCGGCGCCCAAGCCACCAGCACCGCCAGGGCCTCGGCCAACGAGCCTGGCAGCGCCGCAGCCGCCGCCTCCGCCAGCACCTGCCGCCCTTACGCCAGCACCAGCAACAGCAAGAAACAGCACCTGGCGCAACCCCTCCTGCCGGAAGAGAGGGGCGCGCGGCTGGCGATCCTCAAGGCGGAGCGGGTGCGATTATCAAAGGAGTTACTAGCCATTCGTGAAGAGGAGCGCAGTTTGGTCGACAGCGCCTTCAACGCCGGGGGTGACGACGCAGATGATGGTGAGGCTCCCGCAGTGGATTCCGAAGACGAAGTTCGTATTGTCGCGGCCACTCCCGCCAGGTCGACCGCAGCTGACCTCATGTTGTCATGCAACGCCCGCGTAGAGGACTTTCTCAGATTTGTTGATGCACGCGAGCAGCTGCGGACGCGCATAGCGGCGGGCGTGCCCGCCGAGGAGTTGTACGTCGGTTTTGACCCGGTGATCGTTCGTCTCTTCCAGGAAAAGCAATTGCACAACGTCTCGAGGAATGTTGACCCTGTAACGCTGGGGCTCAAGGCGGCGGCCATCAGCTTCATTGGTGGCGGCGCTGCGCCGAGGGGGGTCCCTCCAGCGGCGCCCGACCCTGTAACGCTGGCACCCGCGAGCTTGGGGCGGCCATGTATTCTCATGATCGCCATCTGGCGGGTGGTGGCAGGCACGTTGCCATTTGCGCTGGCCCTGGGCCCTCTTTACACTTGGACGCCTCTCGAGACATCTCGCGTGCAAGCTTTGGCGCGTTTGGTTTGGGCTAAGGGTAAGGAGTGCGTGGACTGTTTCTTTTCGAATGCGTATTCTGCGCCCCGCGTTCTGCGGAACGGTCTTTTCGATGCGTCTCAAACTCAGATGGAGAGAATCATGTGGCCTTCGGCCGCCCTCAGAGAGGCCCAGTCCGGTTTCTGGCGGCAAAATACATTGATCGGCAGATTGAAAACGATCGACTCGATTTGGGAGGTCTCCGGCCAGATTCTCGACGCAGGTCGCAGCGAGCGCACCAGGCGATCTCTGACGAATGCCCTCGCTGAGGCGGATCATTGCGGCATTTGGGAAAACGGGCGGCGCCTGCCGGGTTTCTTCGCCAAAGAATTGGGAGAGGATGCGCTGGATATCCCGGGCCTCATCGTCCCTTGCCTGGATGATGTACAGGATCTGAATGATTTTTGCCCTGCAGGGCCGGGTGCTCTGCAGGGCCTGGAATACATATTTCAATGCGGCTCTATGACGCAAGAGGAGGCGAACGCATTGATGAGGGCTCTTTGGCATGAGCTGCGCGGTCGCTGGAGACATGCGCAGCCCATTCGACTGCATGATATACAGTTCATGCTCTGCGCGCATAATCGCACCGTGCGGAACACTGCGAGGAATAGGAGAGAGCGGACTGCATTCCAGCGCATGATGGGCCAATGGGTTGCGGAAGCATGCGCAGCTCTAGCAGGCGGCGCGCCCTTTGGCGTAGTGAGCGCGCAGTTCGTGGCGCGGCTGCAATCCCTGCCCGACGTCCGTTGATCCGCTTGTGCCGCCAGGACAAATGCGCCCGGCCCCCGGGCTCGGCGCCGCGGCGCTGCGTCGAGGGGGGTCCCTCCGGCGGCGCCCGCGGCGCCGAGCCCCATCGGGTCTGGGGGCCGACGCTTTTGCAGCGCACATGGCAGCGCCGAGGTACCCGAGAGACCCGGGCTCGGCGCCGCGGCGCTGCGTCGAGGGGGGCCCCTTTCGGCGGCGCCCGCGGCGCCGAGCCCCATCGGGTCTGGGGGCCGACGTTGCGCCGCCGACGATGGGCAGACCCATCGGGTCTGGGGGCCGACGTGAGGAGGAGGAGGAGGAGGAGGAGGAGGAGGAGGAGGAGGAGGAGGAGGAGGAGGAGGAGGAGGAGGAGGAGGAGGAGGAGGAGGAGGAGGAGGAGGGGGGTGGGGAGGAGGAGGAGGAGGAGGAGGAGGAGGAGGAGGAGGAGGAGGAGGAGGAGGAGGAGGAGGAGGAGGAGGAGGAGGAGCACTCTGGAGCGGCCGAGGCGTCCGAAGCAGCCTCCAGGCTGGCCGGCCGCCCGAGGTTACCGAGGGCCCACGGCAGGATTTGGGTGTCGGCTGGGGAGGCGGTGTACAGTCGGGCCGCTGAAGAAGGAACCCTTCTCGTTGTGGAGGGGCTCAGTGTTCCTTCATTGGTTTACATTTTTCTTAGGTTGTTCCTAGGTTTCTACGGGGATTTGAAGTTTCACTTATGGAAAAGAGGGGCCTCCTTGGGGTTCCTGAGGACAGCGTTTCGACTGTACACCGCCAGGCGTCCGCAGGCCAACTCCAGGCCAGCTCTTCATGCAGCTACATTGGCTCTGGGCCAGGCCAGGAGCCCCTCTTCAGAAAGATGGTTATCTTGTTGGGAGGACGGGGTTGGGAGGAGTGATGGGCGCGGGAGGAGCCCAATATCTCTCCAACCCCTTCTCCCAACACTGTCATTGTCTTTCGCACATCGCTGGGCAGCAACAGAAAAGGCCGTGGAGACCTGCTAGAGGCGTGTGCTTCCCTATCCCCAGCGATCCTACCCTCTCCGGCCGACCCAGACATCCAGCGGCTCGGGCTTTCCAAGCGACGGGTCCCTGGGCCTCTTCCTGGTCGGTGGTCGCTAAAGGTGCCCCTGGCCAAAGGTGCCCCCCGCTTTTCGCTCCGTTTGGGAGCCCCTGGGGCCCTCTGGGTCTCGTGAGGGGGGCTCCGGAGGCCGTGGGGGCCTCTTTGGGAAGTCCTGGGGGCCTCTTGGGCCAGGCGCACTTTGAAGCACCACCCCGATCTCTTGAAGGCCACCAGGTCCCGACGGCAGCCCCCGGAGCAGAGAGGACGGCGGGAACCTTGAGATCCGACCCTGCAAAAAGCTGTAAGATCGCGAGCAGAAGCGCGGCTGGAGCCCCAGATCCGCGGAGGACCTGTACGCACCGTGCCGCGTTGGCGCCTCCCGAGGGGCGCGCAGCCTAAGTACGATGGGAGCAACCTAAGTCAGGAGGGAACGAAGCACACAGACACAATTAATCGCCGATTTCCCAGAAAGTACTTTGGAACATGTGGGAAGTGGGGGGGAAGACAGAAACCCAGGGCCCCTTGATTTGTGTGCATTTATTTGTGTGCCCCAGGGCCCCTTCAATAACCCTGTACAGTCGGGGCGCTGAAGAAGGGGCCCCGTTCGTTGGGGAGGGGCTCGGTGTTCCGTAATTGTTTAACAGTTTGCCAGAGGTTTTCTTGATGTTTGCCATGGGAAATCGAAGTTGAACTTATGGGAAAAAGGGGCTTCGTTTATTATTTAGGGTTCCTTAGGTCATCGCCCCGACTAGCCTTCCGAGCGGCGCCCGGCGTCCTCGCAGAAGGCTCAGAGGGAGCTCCGCAGAGGGCCGGAGCCCCCCCCCTTTGCCTTGCCCTGGGCGCTCTTCGCCCGGTGGCGTCTCTCTGCGGCCAGGGTCTCTCGTCGTCCCCTGCGCCTGGCCGCCCGTCCCCCCTCGTGCGCAGCAAGCAGCAGGGCAGGCGCATCCAGGCGGCGGTCCAGGTGGGTTGGGCCAGGGATGGACCTTTTCGAGGAGGAGGAGGAGGCGGAGGAGGAGGAGGAGGAGGAGGAGGAGGAGGATGAGGAGGAGGAGGAGGAGGAGGAGGAGGAGGAGGAGGAGGAGGAGGAGGAGGAGGAGGGAGGAGGAGGAAACGGGAAGAACAGGGAGGAGGTAGGAGGAGGTAGGAGGAGGAGGAGGAGGAGGAGGAGGAGGTAGGAGGGGAGGTAGGAGGAGGAGGAGGAGGAGGAGGAGGAGGAGGAGGAGGAGGAGGAGGAGGAGGAGGAGGAGGAGGAGGAGGAGGGAGGAGGAGGAGGGAGGAGGAGGAAGGAGGAGGAGGAGGAGGAGGAGGAGGAGGAGGAGGAGGAGGAGGAGGGCAAGCTAGGGGGCCACACGCGAACCCTACCCCTGCACCCCACGATTTCTGAGGGGGAGGGTGGGGTTCGCTTCGCTCGGGAGCACATCCAGGCGGCGCGCCAACGTGGGTTGGGCCAGGGATGCGGCCCCCCGTAGGCAGGCGTGGGACTTTGTCGAAGGGCCCCCAGGGGGCGCCGAGCGAGGCCTCTCAGAAGGCAGGAGGGCTTCTGAGGAGGCCGCCCCCCCTCGCGCCCCCCTCTGCTCGTGCTGGCAGGTGTGGGATTTTTCTCGCTGCAGGGATGTACACCACGCCGAGTTCCTCTCGTCGCGGTGCGGCTCGTTTTCCCCGGGCGCGCTGTGGTACTTCTGCCCCCTGCGGTGCGGTCGGCGCGAAGGGGTGGGGTTGGGTCTTGCTGGCGCGACCGGGATCGCCCTCCTGAGGGGCAGTTTTTTTATTTGTTTGTTTGTTGTTGTTGTTGCTGTTGTTGTTGTTTTTGTTGTTGTTGTAACGCCTGTGTGACATTTGCGTGCTCGGGTACAGGCGATGCCAGCAGGGCGCCAGAAGCTCCGCTGGAGGTCCTTTTGGAGCTCTTTTGGGCCCTCTTGTGCCGATCTGGGGCCCTCTTGGGCCGTTTCGGCTCCCTTCCCGCCTTTGGGCCCTCTGGGGGCCCTCTTGGGGCCCTCCTGGGGGCCTTTTGTGGCCCTCTTGGGGCTCTCTTGGGAAGCTTTCGGGATCCTCTGGGGCCCTGTTTGGGCCGGCTTGAGACTCTCTTGGGCCGTCTTGGAGCCCTTTTGGGCCGTCTTGGGGCGCTCATGGGGCTCACTGTCGCCACTGAAGTGCCGAGACCTGCGTGTAGCCAGAGGATCGTTCTTTTGAGCCGTCGTGGGATCGCATTTGCATTCGTGCTTTTTGGCTCGATTTCGCTGTCATGCTGGCCGCGCCGGGCCGTGTTTGCTGGCGTTCTGCAGTCTGGTGCTGCGGCGCCCCGTCGTGGAGGGCCTCGTTGGCCGTGCCCCGCCGGGTCTGGACCTCGCCCCGGCCGCTCCAGCGCGCCATGACCGACCAGGGGGCCCCGTGCGGGAGAACCGTCGCGGGAGAGGCTTTCGCTGCAGCCGGGTGCCAAAAACCATCCGATGTGTTGTCTCGCGTGCTACAGGCCCCGGGCCGCTCGATCGTTTTGCCGGTTCTCCACGCGGATGTTGTCGTGTCTCCTGCTCACTCGTTGCATACGTATTTGCAGCAGCTGCGGGCGGTGATCCGCACTGTCGAAGTGGCCAAGCCACAGGCACAAGGTGCTATGCGGGCGTTCTACGTTCTGCCTGAGACAGCACCGGTCCCCGCCTTGAAAATGGCTCTTGGTCTCGGTGGCCGTGTGTTGGAGGTTCCAGATGCGGTTGAGGAGCGATGTCGCGCGCTTCCCCGAAGCGTAGCTGGCGGCAACATCAAGGAATGGTACTTACAGTCGCGGCGGAGCTACCAGGAGTTGGTCCGCCTCGGTTTGGCTCCCAGGTTCTACGGTTTGGTGATATACGTGGTGAAGGCCTTGCCTCAGACTGTTCACAGACTGTACCAGGGCACGGCGGCCCCGCTGACGGTGCATTCTTCCGCTGTTCCTGCAGGATACTACGACTTCCCGAGCTTCGTCGCGGCGTACTTTCAGTTGGATATCGGCTCCGCCATGGACGCGATGTTCCCGCCTCCCGCTGCTGAAGCGGCGGTGCACTCCCAGGCCGCCCATTATTGGGCCGTCTGGTGTCAGTACTCGTTTTACGGAGACAGCATTGTGACAGTGCTGGGGGTGCAGGACGTCAACGGGACACCCGTGGCGCCCCTGCCGTGGTTGCTGGACTCTCCATGGGCCAGGGAGCACTGCCGTCAGGAGGAGTGGATCTCCGCGCCGGAGCTCGGGTGGATCTTCCTGACGTTGCTGATGCGCGTCATTTTCCTGGCGAGCGTCGTTCACGAGGAGTTCCTCTTGGGGGACGTGCACGGCGGAAATCTTTGCGTCACCGTCCACAGTGAGGCCCGCCTGACGGAGTTGAAGCCCGTTTGGATCGACTTCGGCGGGTCCCTGCTGTACGCCGAGGCTCCGCGCGGTCCGGGGGGGGCGCCTGGGAGAGGGCGCTGGCTCGCGCGTCGGCTAGGCACGCCTGAGCCCGCGCCCCTCCGAGGCGCTGCCCCGCGAGGCCGCGTCGTCAGGTTGCGACGCTCCAGCTGGCATGGCGGGCCTTCGACTTGGGCGCCCGGGTCGACGCGGGTTTCGGCATCAGCGGCGCGCAGGGCTCCAGCAGCGTTCCGGGGCCTTTCCAGGGCCAGGAGCTCGCGCACATGCAGGGAGTCTTGCAGGACCTTCTCGATGATATGAGTGCGGAAGGCCGGTTGAGCGGAAGTGTGTCTGTGGAGAACGTGGCGGCGGAGTCTGCCATCCGCGCCAGGCACTTGCAGTTTTGCTATTACTTCCTGGGAGAATTCTTCGACAGACTGCAGGCGTCCGGGCCGACTGCCGGGTCGTCGACGTCAGGCGGGGGCTTCGATTCCCCCCATGGCATGTGGAATTTCCGCCATGCGGAGGCCGTGCTGTGCGACATCATGTCGGAGCCGCGCGCCAGGGCCTTCATGAGGGTTGCCCGTCCTCGGCCTGCGCCGGCGGCCGCCAGTTTCCGGGGGCTCGTGGGTCTCGCGCGGGCCCCCGTTGACAGCAGGAAGCGCACTTGTGCCTCGAGCGGCCCGGCCCAGAGTCGTGTCCGGGCTGCTGCGGGCGCCTCTGCCGTCGACCGACGGCCCGTCGAGGCACAGGCAGATGGCAATGCCACGATTGCATTCGAGTTCCTCCGGCGCGGTGCAGGCGCGAGCGCAGCTGGGATCGCCGGGCAGTTTGCAGAGGGCGAGGTACCCGGGAAGGATGACGTCATCCGCGCGCTCCTACTCTTGGGCACTCCGCCCGGAGAGCTCATCGGCGCCCGGGGTGGAACTCTCCGGGAGCTGCAGGGCCTCCTCGCAGAGCGAGCCGCCGAGTGGCACGAGGCGTGCAGACAGGCCCCGTCCTTGTTTGGTCGTTGGCGCAGCCTCCCCTCGCCCAGGACTCACCCTGGAGATTGGGAGAACGACCTCTTCGGTCCTGGGGGCAATTCAACTGCTGTGTCGTGGCGCGACCCTGCTGGGGGGCAGACGGCCCCCCCTTCCAAGGATGACTTCAGGCGAATCCTCGTGCGCGCTGGCGTGCACGGCTGTTGCGCGGCTGCGATGGCGAGCGTGTCGGGCCGGGTCGCCCTGCGACGGGCCTTGATGCTGGCCGCTGTGCTGAGCTGTGTGGACGCACTCGGTTGCCGTATCTTGCTGTTCCACATCGCCGCAGTCCTGCTGTTGCCGTGGGAGCGCTTCCACGGCGGCGACTACTGGGACGTGGTGGAGAACGTGCTGGTCGACCGTCGTCGACCAGACCGGGGCAGGCAGCCGCAGCATCAGGCGCCCCGGACTCTCACCATCCGCGTGGCCCAGTGGCTCCACCACAGCCACGTGCACGCAGGTCACGCGCCTCGCGTCGCGTGGGAGGACCTCCGCCGCAGCATGCTCAAGTATCAACAGAAAGGTAAAGTGAAGGCTTCCCGCCGCTAGCCCCGCGCATATTCTTCGGAACCTTTGCAGACACTTTCACAGTGCTTTCACAGTGCGCGTCGCATGTCTCACCTGAGGTCCATCTCTCTATCCTGCATGTCTCACCTGATGTGTTTTTGCGCTGCGCACTCCTTGCGTGTTTTGATTCAAGCGCCTTTCAACGGAAAAGCATGCCCCATCCTGTCCTCATGCATCCCCGCGCCTACGTTCACTCTTCCCCCCCAGTCGACCACGTGGATTCCTCGTGCTCCAGATCATTGCACATCGCCGTGGATGTCCAGACCCGCGTTGGCTCGTTGTGGCCGCCTTGTCCCACTTCTTGACGCTTCGCGTAACCTTGCCAGCCCATTCGGAAGCCCTGCCCATGAGAGCTGACGGGACATGGCAAGAAGGGACACATATATTGGCTTTCGTTGTGCCATGTCGTTCCTAGTATAGTGTGCCTGCGTGATAGACTGCATCAGTCATCGCCTTTTCCCGCGTCGCCTATCCATATCATCGTCGAGTAACCGCGTCGTGGCACCTGCGCTTGTCGAACTCTGAGCAAGCCCATTCATTGTTTGCACGAGAAAAAAGGTGCTTGCTGAGGCGCCGTCTTGGGAGCTTCTTGGGGCCCTCTTGGGGCCTGGGCAGTCTCGGGGGCCTCTCGGGGCTCTCTGGGACGCGTCTTGGGGCCTTCTTGGTTCGTCTTGTTGCGGGGCTGAATCAGATCTTGAGCTCCAGCTGATCGAGCGCCCCGCGCGGGTGGGCGGCAACCAGCTCGAGCTTTGCTATCGGGCAGCCACAGATTAAGATCCAGATCGGTTCGGTCACGTTTTCTTCTGCCAAGAACGACCTGAGACACAATGCCATAGAGCACGGGGGAATTCAACGCGGCATGGCGTGTCCCTTTGCCCGTCTCCAGAGCCGCGTTCGCTCGTTGTGGCCGCCTGGCCCCCATTTCTGCGATTCGCCCCTCGCGCGCACCCTGGGTGTACCGGGCGACGCGGGGATGAGCGAGGGAGCGGCCCCTTCGGGAAGCGCTTATCTCTCGGCGGAGGAGGTGCCCTTGACCGGCGCCTCGGCGGCGCCTTGGCCCAGTGCTCGTGGCCCGCCGGCGCTGCGGCCGCCGCAGCCTGAGGAGTACATGCTGGACGTTTTGCCTCCCTCTGTTTCCGAGCTCCTGAGTTCGCTGGGGTCGTCCATCCGCCACGTGTCGCGCCGCGCTGGGCACCACCAGGGCCCCGCGCTCGAGGAGCGCGCGCTGCGCCGAGCGTACGAAGACTTGATGCAGTGCTTCGGCAATGATGAGGTGCCCCTCGAGCTCGGCGCGGCTCGAAAAGCACGGATGGATTACGTCCTCTGGCTCATCGGCCGCTCCTTCGCATCTTACATGGGTTACCGCGTGGGCTTCCGGAAAGGCGGAGCGGCAGACGACGGCGCCCGCTTCTCCCTGGCAGTGTTCGACGAGAGTGGCGATTCCCGTGCCTTCAGCAACCTGCCGCTCGACAAGAGTTGGGCCGTGGGTCGAGATGGCATGGGCCACTTGGTAGATATCCCTGGATCCACCACGTCGCGCATGCACGTGGTGATGCTACCCGACCGTGCAGAGGATCAGTACATCATTGTGGATTTCGGCTCCCTGCTCGGGTTCACGGTGCTGGCGCGCGTTGGGGGCAATGGGTACGAGGCGGCGACAGACGTGAGCAGCCGACCGGGGAGACGGCGCCCTGCGCTCATTGGTGCCAGGGAGAGCACGTTGGTGGACTTCATGAATGGCGTGTTCGTGCTCTTCAACCCGCCTCCATGCATGGCGTGCGGGGCATTTCCTCAGGCGGTCTGCGGCGAGTGCCAGCACCCGTGCCTGTGCCGCCAATGCTTCCAGCGGGGCGCCTCCGGCTTCCGGTGTTCTTGGTGCGCTGCGTTGGCTCGGGCGCCCGGAGATGCGCTCCCCAGAGATGGCGCATCATCGTGATCGAGCCCTCCTCGCGCCGCTCCCGGCCTACGCCACGCGCGGCGCGGCGGGGCGCCCGCGCCATCCGCGGGCGCGCCGCGCCGGGCCGGGCGGCCCCCGGCGCGTATCTGAGCCAGGATCGCGCGCGCCAGGCCTGCGCCGCCTTTAGAAATGCGTTTCACCGTTTCACCTAGCAGATCCCGGGGCCTCCTTGCAGATACAGGTCGGGAATTCGGGGATCGCGGCGCGGCGTCGAAGGTATCCCTTGCAACCCAGCCGGGCCTCGGACCAGCTCTGGTCCCGGCGTCAGTTCCCCCAAACGCGGCTCTGGTCAGTGGCGGCTGGGCGGAAACGTTCCATCGTCAGTTCCCCCTCTTTACCTCCGCCATCGCTTTCAGGCGTCCCGCACATGGCAGCGCCGAGGTACCCGAGAGAGTCGGGCTCGGCGCCCAGGCGCTGCGTCGAGGGGGGCCCCTCCGGCGGCGCCCGCGGCGCCGAGCCCCATCGGGTCTGGGGGCCGACGCTGTGCCGCCAGGACAAATGCGCCCGGCCCCCGGGCTCGGCGCCGCGGCGCTGCGTCGAGGGGGGTCCCGCCGGCGGCGCCCGCGGCGCCGAGCCCGTTTTTGTGTGACATCTGCGTGCTCGGGCACAGGCGATACCAGCAGGGCGCCAGAAGCTCCGCGCTCCTCCCGCCCATCCTCATCCTCCCGGCTCCCTTCCCCGCCCCTCCTCTCCTTGCCCTCCTCCTCCTCCTCCTCCTCCCCCGTCGCCGTCGCCGCCGTGTCGTCGGGCCGTTGCCGCCGTCTGCCGTTGCCGCCGTGTCGTGTCGCGTCCTCGCATGGGCTTACGCCATTCAAGTGGCTTACGCCATTCCGCCGACCCCCTCGAGGAATGAGAGCTTCGACGTTCGACCTATTTCGCCACCGTGCCTGGGTTGTACGTCAGACACCTCTGCAGTCTTCGTTGGGATCTCGTGGTACGCCTCTCGGGGGCCTTTGGGCAGCAGTTTTGAGGACTCTTGAGGGTCATTTTGGGGCCTCTTGGGGTCTTTCTGGGGCCTCTTGGAGGCCTCTTGGAGCCTCCTTGGAACCTCTTGGGGGCCTCCTGGGCCCTCTTGGGGCCCTCTTGGGGCCTCCTGAGGCCGCCTCTCCTTCGCTGTGAAGCCCCCGGCGCCCCCCGGGGGACGCGGGGGGGCGGGGGGGGGACAATGTGGGGCGGTGTTGTGCGGCATTGTGAGCAGCGCGTTGGGGAAGCGAGCCGATGTTTTTTGGAGCAGACACAAGGGGGGGTTGCTCCTGCCGCGCGGACGCGGGGGGGGGGGGGAGCCGTTTGCCAGATCGCGCGATATTTATGTTAGCGCCGCTCCTCTCGGAAGCCCAGCAGCCGCGATACACATGCAGAGGAACCGTTTCGAGCAAGATCCCTGCGCTATATTGTCACATGATTTTTGTTGCTGCGTCTATCGGGGTGTCGGGGCTCCTTGGGGCTCTGTGTACCGCGGGGCCCCCCTCTCTTCGGCGTGATGCCCGCGCTGCTGCTGACTGTATGTCGCCGTTCTGGCTCGGAGGCCTTTCTCGCGAATCTGCGACATCGGACCAGGCGAGCGCTCTTTTCCTCATCGCTGCCCAGAGTCAGCCGCGCGACCTCTGGCCCCGCCAGGAACTCGCCGAAGGCCATGCAGAAGCCGATTGCAGCGTTCCCTGCCAATCGGCCCGCCCAGGGCTACGCCGCTCGACTGAAGAGCATGTACTTCGACGTGAAGTCAGTGCACAACTTCGCCAAGGGCGTCGGGCGTTTCCTCGACCACACCGGCGCCCCCATTTGGTTCGAGCTCACCGGGCAGGCGCCGCAGGAGGTGTTGACAAGGGGGCGCCAATATCTCCAGGGCAAAGCGGGGACTTTCTCCAACGTGACGGTTCTGAACAGCCGGTACTACAGCGGAGGCCGCGTGATCAACCTGAACCCGAAGTCACAGGTGCGCTGCGCTGCTCTGACGGGCGCCGACGCGTCCCAGATGCCTTCGGGGCCCATGGTGCCCAGGGGGAAACTACGCGACGTGGAGCAGTGCAACGACAATGACCGCGTGGACGTCGTGGGCCTGGTGGTGGAGCAGAAGTCGTTGGCGACGACGCAGAAGGTAGAGGTCTGGCTGAAGGACGAGGAGGGCGGCAAGTCGATTCTCGTGGAGCTGTGGGGCAAGACTTTCTACGAGATGGCCCAGTCGGGGTCTCACGGCGCGAGCAGCCAAGACGGGAGTCTGGGGCTGCAGTGGGCGCAACCCGTCGTGCTGCAGGTGGAAAACGCGCGCGTCGTGAAGAAGGAGTCCGGCCTTGTCCACCTGACGGCCGAGCATTTCAAGGACTCACAGAACGCGGCTGCTTGGGCGTTCCTCCAGCCGAACCACGCGAGGGCCGAGGAGCTGCGATCGCTGAGCGCCACGGTGGGCGAGCGCATGTCCGAGGTGTGGACTCCGAGCGGCGCGGTGATGCGCATGCAGTGTTCTTCGCAAAGCTTGTATAAGACTTGCTTGCGCACCTTGAAGACCTGCAGCGTCGCGTGGGCGGACAGCGCTGATTCGACGGGCGGCGCCGGCATCGCCGTGGAGGCATCCACCCGAGCGCCGGTCTCCGGGGGCCGGCCTCTGCCGGCCGAAGTGCAGGTGGAGGTGCACGGCGCGTGGCTCACAGGCGTCTCCAACCCGGATCCCGTGCACGCGAAGTGCAAGCACTGCCGCACCAAGATCGACGCGAACGGCAACTGCAAGAATGCTGCGAAGCACCAGACGGAGCCGGACAGCATCAAAGCCGCCTTGAGCTCCGTGAGCCTGGGGGATTTCGGGGCCGGCATGGACGACATCCTGGCGGACGAGGTGAGCCTCGTCGCGCTCGCAGGCGTCAAGGACATCGACGAGCTGGAGGAGCTGGTGCAGCAGCGCACTGTCGCGGGCATGTGCTTCCGAGTCCGATGTGACGTCGTCCTCGGCGCCAACCGCGAGAAAGCCCCCAGGTTGTCGCTGTCGAGGGGGGGCCGACCCGCCGACGCTCCGAACGAGTGCAATTTCTCCATCCTGAAAGTGACGCCGCTGCTGATGGGGGCCTGGGACACGCCCCAGCGCCCGGCACTCAAGCAGGTGCTGTCGCTCGTTGCGGATTACGGCGCTGGCGCCGTCCTTCCGGTCTCGGATCTCGCGACGGAGTTGGCGGCCACGCTCTCCAGCGCCAAGTGCGAGGTCACCGGCTGCGCTGCCGAGTGCGTCATGGTCCTCGCGCGCGCCCAGGGGGAGCCGACGGTCACGGACCTCGGAGAAATGGAGGAGATCACGCACAAGGATGTCGTGGCCGCAGTCTCGGTCGGCGACGAGGAGCCGACCCCCTTCCGGGTGGAGATGCTCGCGCCCAAGGGCCAGGCGGGAGCGGCGCTCATGCAGGAGGAGAACGTGGATTACCTCGTCGTCGGTCGCCCGCAGGGATCCGAGCGCGCATGGACGATCATGGCCGAGAACATCTTCTCCTGCAAGGACATCCCTCAGGCTCGCGACATGTTCAAGAAGGAACTGGAAGGCTGCCGCGAACTGCTGCTCTCCAAGAAGAAGTCGCGCACGCAGAAGCGGCCGGCCAAGGACTTGATCACTGATACGCCCACGAAGGTCCGGTGCGTCCGGGGGGGTCCGCCTGAGGAGGCGCCGAAGGAGGGCGAGAAATCGGGGGCGCTGTCTGGCCCGGAAGGCGCCGACGCCGCGGACGAGGTGGCCGCCTAGTGCCAGGCCTGCGCCACTGGGCAAGTCTCGCCCGACGGAGACTCGGCGCGTTGCAAGCCTGAGCCGCGCTTTCAGCCCGCAGGCCTGCGACCGTGCTCCCGACGTTTCACCGTGATCCTTTTCGTTTCCCGCTCGATTCGCAGATTCGCCTGCGGCGATGCCCCCAGTCTGCGCGAGCTGTTTGGGTTCCAGGCCTGCGCCGCGAGCCCCAGACTTACAAGCGTCGCGCGTCGCCCCGAACACGGGGCCACCCAGTTCCAGGCCTGCGCCGCGGGACAACTCTGCGACGCGTTCTCCTTTTACAGGCTCGCGGGCGCTGCGTCGAGGGGGGCCCCTCTGGCGGCGCCCGCGGCGCTGAGCCCCATCCGGTCTGGGGGCCGACGCTTTTGCAGCGCGCGTCGCCGCGCCGAGGTCCTCGAGAGACCAATCGGGTCTGGGGGCCGACGCTTTTTCAGCGCACATCGCCGCGCCGAGGTCCCCGCGCGACAGACGACGACCTGCGCGCGTCGACGACAGACCTGCACGCGTCAAGTATGGCTCGCCAGACCCCCGGGCGCCGACGACCTGCACATGTCGACAGGACTCCTGTGCTTTGCCTGTAAGCGTCTGGACGAGCTGGTTGGGCTCCAGGCCTGCGCCGCGAGCCCCAGAATTCCGGGGGCGAGTTGGTTGGGCTCCAGGCCTGCGCCGCGAGCCCCAGACTTCCGCGCGTCGCGCGTCGCCCCGGACACGGGGCCTCCGAGTTCCAGGCCTGCGCCACGGGACAACTCTGCGACGCGTTCTCCTTTTTACAGGCTCACGACGCAATTCTTGGATCGTTTCACTTCGCCGACATTTTACGGCGGCCCTTTGTTGCGGGCGCCGGCCGTTCTGCTGCCTGCGCGCCATTGCGAGTGTCGGGCGCTGCGCCGAGGGGGGTCCCTCCGGCGGCGCGCCACACTCGCGCGGCGCGCGGCGGAGCCCCAGACGTTCGCGCGGCGCGACGTTCGCGCGGCGCGCGGCGCCCCGGGTCTCGCCTCCTGGTCTGAGCCATCCGCAGATGCGCTGCTGCGGCTCCCGCGAAAAATGCTTCCTTCCACTCCGTCGTGGTGCGTTCGGCTATGACCCCTTCCGCAGCCAGGCAGCCCGCTGGGGGCCACGGGGGGGGGGTGCTTTAAACAACCGTCGGCCTGCGGGAGGCGGGGCTCGTCGAAGGCTGGCGACACATCCGGAGGCTTCTGTTTTCCGCATGGGATTGTTTCCTAATCGGGGGCCCGAGGCGGGCAGCTGGGACTCATCAGAGGGGGGCGCAAAAAACCGGCCACCTCGGTGTTCGACCGCGGGATGCGCGGGCGTGCGGACTTCGCCTCGCCAGCGATCCTCTTGTTCCGAGTTCGCCTCGCCAGCTATCCCCTTGTTCCGCGGAGGTTGCGGCTCGAGTTCGACTTCTGGCAACCGCGGCTAGGCCATCAGCTCCCCTGCGATCCGGCCCCGGCGCCGCGTCGCGGGGGGCCCCTCCGGCGGTGCCGCGGCCAGGCGGGCCAACCGGACAGCCACCTTCCCTGCGCCATGTCCTCGCGGAAGCGCCCTGCAGCGTCTCCTGGCTTCGCCACATCCCGCTACGACGCGGACTTCTGGGGCCTCGAGGGCGGCAGGGGCAAGCGTGGCCCAAGGAAGAGGCCTGCCGCCACGGACGAAGCCCCGCCCTTGCCGCCGCGAGAGTATGCCAGTCGTAACCAGCGAGACATCGACGCATGTCGGGACCTGATGATCTCTTTGGCCACAGATGATCTGCGACAGCGCCTGATGCGCAGCCGCTATGACCTCGAAAGTGCCCGCCACACGGAACGGCTGAGACAGATCCAAGCGGGAACGGCGCTCGACGATGACTGGCTGGGGGAAGCGGCCCAGGTTTTCAACGTCTCCACCCGCAAGAGGAAGCAGAAGCAGGTCGTGGAGGACGTGCTGGAGGCCGTCCGCCAGGCCCGACAGCGCGCCCCCGGCACCGCGAACGCCTTGGATGCCGAGCGGAGGGCGGCGCTGTGCAGGCGTACCAGGGATGCCCAGGCCACGAAGCGCGAGGCCTGGGCCGCGGGCATGCGCGCGGCGCAGAAGGACATCCCGAGGAGTCGCGGCGTCGACTCGCTTCGGGAGGATCTGCTCGTTAGAACTTGCCCGGAGGATCTGCGTCTGCGCGTGGTGGGCGAATGCGTCCAGCGGCACGGAGGTTGGCCTTCCGAGGCTGCAGATCTCGGTGAAGACGATCACTTTGCGCGCCTTTACTTGCTGAGCGCGCTGTCCCGAAGGCACGCCAGCGCCCTCACGGGCGAGCAGCTCTCGCCGGGCGACGCGGCGCAGTGGCAGCAGCTGCTCGACAGGATCCCGGAGGCGCAGCGGCCCGAGTGGCAGGCGGACCCGCTGCGCCAGCAGTTGCAGGATCACTACGAGGAGCATGGCCACCTGAACGTGAGGCCCCCGACCAGGAGACAAACCGATCCCGAGCGCTTGCTGCTCAATGGCCTGAAGCTTCTGCGCCGCGCGCGGCTGGGCGATGTCAGGGACGAGCGAGGCTTTCTGCTGCGCCGGCAGCTCTCGCCCGGGGACTTGGCGTCCTGGGAGGCAGTGATCCCCGCCCATGTGTTGTGGGGCACGGTGCGACAGACGGAGGCTTATATCCCGGGCAGCGCCATTCTCGGCAGCCGGTGCGAGTGGCCCAGGGAGCCCGTGTGCTGCCAGCCATGTCCGTGCTACCTGTGCGGCCAGGATTTCGCCACGAAGAAGTTGTTGCAGGAGCACTGGTGCCAGGCGCACGTGGACTTGCCCGAGGCGGAGCGGAGCTCGCTGGCGCCGCGGCGAGTCGAGGAGGAGATCCGAAAGAGAATCCTCGCGGACGAGCAGATGGAGGGCCCCTTCGAGGTCCGGGGCGCGGAGCAGCGCCGCGCGCTCGGTCGCTTCGCAGAGAACCAGACGCAGAGCCGGCCTGGGGCGGAGTGGGGGGGGCATTTCGAGGGCAAGGAGAACTCCTCGACCGTTTGCCGCGCCCTGAGCGGCTGCGTTGTGTGCGCGCAGTCCTTCTGGCTGGAAGAGCTCTTCGACGCGGACTTGTTCGTGGAGCCCGTGGACCCCGAGCAGGATGCGGGCGCTGGCGAGCCCGCGGCAGAGGGCGCCGGGGGTGGCGAGGAGGACCCGGCGGCGGGCGCGCCCGCCCTGCAGCCCCAGGGCCCCCCGGAGCTGCCCGCGGCAGAGGACGCGGCCCCCCCGCGCCGGGCTCGCTTCGCCGTGCGCCCAGAGGCCGCCGCGAAGGTGCACGCGCTGCTCGCAGTGGAGCGGTATGCCGCGAGATGGCCGCTGATCCCGCGCCACGAGCTGTGGGCCTCCAGCGTGCCGCACCCTCACAGGCCCGAGTGGCGGTGGCTGCTCCACGCCCGCAGGCTGCCCGACCTCAGTCTGGACGGGCACGGGCGGGCGCCCCTCGTCAAGGTGTGTTTCGATTGCGGAAAATCATTGGAGGGCGCGCCAGAAGTGAAAATGCCAGTGAATGCGCTGGCGAACGACAATTGGATTGGGCGAGTTCCATTTCCCCTCCGACCCGGCGGCGAACCATTGCGGGACATGGAGCTGCGATCGCTGGCCCGGGGCCGCGTGTGCGTGAACAAGATCATCGCCGAGCCCGAGAAGAGGGGTCCTCGAGACGAACGGCAGGGGGGACTCGTCGGGAACTTCATATGCTTCCCGCAGGCCAAGGTCGGGGGGATCTCAGACCGCACTTCTGGAAGCGCGCGCCAGCCACCAGATTTCTGATTTCTCCTGATTATATTTTCACTGTTTGTGTGTGCGAGTGTGTCTGTGTGTGCGTGTGTGTGTGTGTGTGTGTGTGTGTGTGTGCGTGTGCGTACGTGTGTGCGTGTGCGCGTGGGTCGCTGCCATGGCCGGCGCGCGTCGCCGGGGGGGTGCGACTGGGGATTTCTCGCGAGGTGGATCTCCTGAAAAGTGGCGAGCTGCCCGCCCCTGCGGCCGAGGCGGAGAGATTCCTGGCCGACGGCGTTGTCATCGCGCTGGCAGGGGCCGACGTGGACGATCTCAGCAGGGCCCGGTGGGCCAACGTGCGGAAAGGCGAGTACATGGGCGCCGCCGGTTTCTTTACCTCCCACTCGGTCTCGCACAGCGACATGACCTGCAACCAGGACAGAGCAGACGCGGACATGAGCGACGCGGGGGCCGTTCCCGAGGCCGTGCGACGCATCGCAGTGCCCATCGAGGTCTCGGAGAAGTTGAAGCATCGGATGGAGGGCCCTGCCGACGCGTGCGCCGCGGCCCACGAGAGCGTCGTGAGAGTGGACGGGGAGGAGTGCGCGTCCGAGCACGAGGCGGGGGAGGAGGAGGAGCAGGGGGAGAACGACCTGAACGCCGCGCTGCCCGACCCGGACTTCCCCGCCGAGGCGCTCCCGGCCATGTCTTTCTGCGCCGATGCCACGAGCAGCGGCGACCTCGACGAGCTCCAGACGGTCCGCAAGGTGCACGCTGAACTCGAGGCCCTGCAGGATTCCATGCGCGAGGAGGCCTCCGGCAACGGTCGCCCGCGCCGGCGCCTGATCAAACAGCTGCAGGTCAGCGCCACAGGCATGCTCGATCGCAGCTTGTCGCAGCGGATCATCGGCCACGACGAGGCGCTGAAGAAAGCGGAGGAGCAGGGGAGCTCCGTGGCCCCGGGAGGCATGGAGGGGTATGCCCAGGGCACCGCCACGAGACCGCTGTCGATGTACAGCCCGGAGCTCTGGTCCATGTGTTTCCCCGACAAGTTCCCTTACGGTGATGGAGTTTTCGGCCTGTCCAGGACTTCGCCCATGTCTTTCCAGCAGTGTACGTCAATGCATCTGCTCCGCGAGGAGCTGGTGTACCAGGTGACTCCCGAGGACTTGGCCGCGGCCGCCACCTCCAAGACGTGGGGCAAGGGCGACGCCGGCGGGCCCGGCGCGACCGGGCGGGCCCGCGCTCCCGGCGGTTCCTCGTGCGGCTGTCTGCAGTGCAGAGATCCGTGCAGGCGCTACGAGGCGCCCGAGCAGCCGCGCTGGGGGGCCGACCGCGATCTGATCTGCTGCTACTACGACGCTGGGCGGCGCATCGAGCAGATCCGCAGGGCCAGGGGCCACGTGAACAGATTGGGCTTCGATGCGCGCCTGCAGAAGATCTGCGCGGCCTCCTCGGAGAAGCTCGACGCCGCCGTGCAGAGCCTCGGGCCGAATGCGTCCCTGAAGGACGCGCTCCGGTCCCCCGCCGTGGACCAGGACGTCAGAGACGCCCTCTCCGAGCTCATGGTGTTCACCTCCGAGGTTCTCGGCTCCGACGGCGCGCGCGCGAGACTGCGCCACGAGCAGAACGGCTTTGCCCTCATGTTCGGCGGCGCCGGGGGCTTCCTGACCCCGAACGTCGCGGACGTGCGGAGCCCCGTCTTGCTCACCCTGCACTCGGCCGGGGGCTGCGAGACCCACGCCGTGGACCTCCTCGCGGAGGCCCCCGACATGCCCTCCGCTCGGCGGATGCTCCACATCGTGGCCCAGGACCCCGTGGCCCAGGCCCGCTTCTTCATCTTCACCATGCAGCTCTTCTGCGAGCACGTGCTCGGCACCGGCCCCTGGGACAAGTTTCTGCGCCACAACGGGCGTTGCGACGGAGCGGCTTTCCCCGACGGCTTCGCCACCTCGTGCACGGGCGGGGCCTTCCTCGAGGTGGCGGCGCTGCACGGGCCCATCGAGGAGCAGGCGCGGCTGTCCATCCACCCGCACATCCTCCTGTGGTTCGTGCACGCGCAGTCCGAGCAGTGGCTCCGATGCGTGGCCAACAGAGAGACCGAGGAGATCCGCCGGCGGCTTCGCGTGTGGCAGGAGAAGACTCTGGCCGCCGTGCAGTCCATGCAGCTGGACTCCGCGGCCGTGCTCCCGCTGCTCCTCACCGACGACCCCGACCGGGCGCCCGAGCCCAGGAACACGCCCTTCTCAGAGAAGCTGCAGCAGGAGTGCCGCATGGATGGCGAACTGGAGCACGACGTGAAGGAGCCGGAGAAGCGGCGCGTCTTCCTGGCCACCGAGCCCCTCTTCGAGGACCACCACCTCCGACGACGCCGGCAGTCGCTGGCGGCCGAGGCGAGGCCCCTGAGCGAGTATATGGTGCCACAGACGGGCGCTCAACTCTGTCGCCTCGAGCCTTACCGGCTGCTGCGGCCCGTCACGGACGACGACCTGGAGACGGCGGCGGGCCGGAGCGCGGAGGCGGCGGCCTGGGCCGCGCGCTACGCCGAGGACTACCGCCAGGACATCGCCGTGGGCCAGATGCACCAGCACAAGGACACCTGCTTCAAGTACGTGGTCGAGAAGTCCATGCGCGTGGCCCGGCACTGCCGCTTCAACTTCTGCCACTTCGTCAAGCTCTGGCTCCACGTAGAGGAGGGCGCGAAGGGCCCTCCGGGAGCGATCGGTGCGCAGAAGAAGCGCGCCGCCAAGCTGGTGACCCTGGCGCGAACCGGCAAGGACCTTGTGCTGCCCAGGCTGCCTGGCGAGCCAGAGCCCGACATGTTCCCCCTGGACGAGAACGGCGCGCCCGTGCCCCTGCGCCCCGGGCGCAAACTCGGCCCGGTCGTCAATGCCGACCCCGACCATGGAAAACGCGGCCTGATCATGCCCATTCGCTGGAACCCGATGGAAGGCAGTTCCAATGGCGTGGCCCAGACGGCACTCAACTCCAACGTCGATTTCCAGAGCATGATGCGCACGTTTTGTAACGGGTTTGATTCGGGAGCCCGGGACACGTTGCGCGACCCGCCCCTCTCTGCGGACGAGGAGGCCGCGGTCGAGGCGAAGGAGGACCGAGAGTTTTTGGCGAACCTCCCCGACAGCGTGGAGAAGCTCGTGGCCGCCCGCAAGAGGGCCCACATGCCAGAGCTCGAAGATCACGAGGCCGAGATGATGCTCAGGCAACGGCGAGAAGCCCGCAAGGCGGCGCAGCGGAAGCTGGGCCCAGCCGAGCGCTTCAGGCGCGGTATCAGAGCGCTGACCGTTAACATCATGAAGCAGTCCATTCAGGCCATGTTCTACGCCTGCGACTACTCCACCAAGCCGAACATGACCTGCGCGCCCCTCCTGGTGGCGGTGCGCGACGGCATTCGGCGCCTGGAGGAGCGGCTCCGCCTCGAGGAAGAAGAGGCGGCGGCGGCGGAGGAGACGGGGGGTGCGGGGGTCCCGCGGCCGAAGCCGCTGAGGAGGGGGCCCGCGCTGAGCCAGGTCAGAGGGCGCTGATTAGAGGGGATGGGGCGGGCCTGGGGGGTTGGGATCGGGCGGAGCAAGCGCAGCTTTTTGGTTGCAAAAAAGCCAAAAAGCAGGCTTGCTTCGTGGGAGAATTTGGAGGGGGGGGTGGCCCCGCGGGGCCGTTCGGGGGCCTTGCCTGTTGAAGCTCCCTTGGGCCTCCTTCGAGTGCCTCGAGCGCCCTCGGGGCCGTCTCGGGAGCTTGTTGGGCCCTTCTTGAGGCTCCAGGGGGCGCCCGAGGCTCGAGTTGTGGCCCGAAAGCATGTTGTCCCAGGTCTGTGAAGTCTGGGCTCCTCGGGGGAACGCATGGCTTCGGATCTCAAGCTCCAGCTTATCCCGAGGTCCAGGACGAGGCTCGGCGGCGCCTGATCCGGCAGGCCACTGCTGCCAACCAGGCCATCGTGAAGGGCAACTGCCTCATGGTCATGCAGATGCTCACCCGACGCGAGGTGCTGCGCTCCCACTCCACCTGGCAGCTGATGATGAAGAACGCCATGTGGCTGGCCTTCGAGAGCCGGCGACTCCAGCAGGGCTTCGACGAGCGCGAGCAGCAGAACGAGGCCACGGTGCTCCTCGACGCCGCGGAAGTGGACAGCCAGGCCACGGACCCGTGCGACTGCGACAGCGAGCCCGAGGAGCGCGAAAGCGCCGACGGCGATGCCGACGGCGATGCCGCCGCCAGTGTTCCCGGCTCCCCCTTGGCGGCTCCGGAGGGGATCCCCCCGGCTGCCTCGGGAGGGTCGCCGCAGCCGGCCGCGCGCCGCGTCGAGGGGGGTCCCTCCGGCGGCGCGCCGCCCCCGCCCGCCATGCTCGATGCCCCTCGGCAGGTCGCAGCAGCTGGCTGCGCGCCCGCAGGCGACGCGCCTGCGGCGCGCGGCGGACGAGGCGCCTCTTTGGCCGAGGGGCCCGCGGACGAGCCACAGCAGGGGAACTCGGAGGTCCGCTTGAAGAGCAACAGCTATTACGACGACTACTTGCACCGCGGCTCCACCGAGCTCGGCGCGTCGGGTCGAGCGGCGAACACTCCCCTGGCCGCCATGTCCCATTACGACTACGGCATGTGGGTGCGCGTGGTGCCGGGGGACCCGGACGCCCTGGCGCCGGACCAGTTCGCCTTCGCCAGCCACTACGGGAAGCATGGCGCCTACGTCCAGCAGTTGCGGCCCGCTCCGGCCGCGCCGTACATCTCCGGCTTTACGATGCCGACCGAAGAGAAAGACCCGGAGACGAACGCCTGCTTCAAGCAGGTGCTGTTGAGGCCGCATGCATGCCCGGGGCCGGACAGCTGTCGCCAGGTGCACTTCGCCCGGCACTTCTGCTGCGCGTCCCTCGGCCGGGAGGGGAAGGCCAGGGGGGGTCGCCCTCCTCGTCTCTCTTTTCGGGGACCTTGGCGCGCGTATCACGCCGAACAGCTCGTCCTGGCGAAGAGGGCCGACCAGATCCTGCAGCGCTCGCGGCAGTGCCCCGTGCTGCACGACACGACCGCCGTGCGCTACTGGCATCTTCCCGGCACCGTGCGCGGGGGCCCGGTCCACGAGAGTTTCCTGCCGTTGCTCTGCGGTGGCCGCCACGCGACGGACCCCGGCTTGGACGGCACCTGGTGCCGCCGCCGCGAGGTCCCGACCTCGGACGCAGACGCCGATCTGCTGCGGCCGTCGCGCGGGGCGGGGTGCTGGCGAATGGCCCTACCCGTGGACCTCGCCTGGGCCGTGCTGCGCTTCGCGGGCGACGTCCGCGGCGACGATGGGCGGCTCCTGGGGGTCGCCGGCTCGGAGGAGGAGCGCGCTCGGCTGGGCGAGCGGGCGGCCCGCGATGGCGAGTCGGTCACGTGCGCCTGCCCTGGAGTCCACGACGACCAGCTGACCCCCGAGATGTTCTTCGCCGTTCGGCACGTGGAGGTGGCCGCCCGTCTGGAGTACATGGCCGAGGCCCGCGGGCTGCCGAGGCCGGCGCAGGGGCCCAGCGACGCGGTGGCGGAGGAGGAGCTCGGCGGAGATCGATCCGACGATGACGCGGCTTTCGACTTGGACGAGGCGCTGCCGGGCGAAAACTCATCCGGCGAGGAGCGCCAGGAGAGCACGGACGCGCGAGAGGATCAGGAGGGCATGAAGCCGATCTTCAGGTTGCAGGAGGATGAGGTCGACGACGTCGTGCACAGAACGACGGCGGCTGAGGCGGCCGTCCGCAGTCGAGGGGGCACGCACAAGAAAGCCCTGATGGAAACGTTCCTGCGCATGCAGGGGCCCGCTTACAAAAGCGCCCGGCAGCCCTGCGCCGTGCGCGAGCGCGCCCCTCGGTTGGCAGCGCTCACTCCCGAGGACGTGCAGAGCGCCAAGAGGGAACAGGACAGGATCCGCGAGGAGAGGGCCGCACAGGACGACAATCTGGGAGCGGCCGGCGCGGGGCCGCCCGTCGCGACGGCGGCGCCCGCCGACGCGCCCGCGTCGGCGAGGCGCCTCGGCCAGGAGGACATGCCGATATCCCCGCTGCAGATGGCGCTGACCCTCATCGCCGAGTCCGGGGTGTGGCAGAGCAAGGAGCAGTACCTGGTGACGCTCTTCCTCCTTCAGCCGATACAGCAACTCTGGCAGAAGGCCCTCGAGACGGACGGCTTGGACAGCCTGTCCACGGCCGCGGGCCTCGCAGCGGCCTCGAGGGACGTGCAGGTCCGCCGCGTTTTCCTGCACGGGCCGGGGGGTTCTGGGAAGACCTACTGCATGACCGAGGTGGTCAACAAGGTGGTCGTGCGCTTCTTCGGGCACAGGGGGCTGAAGCTCGTGGCCGCGGCCAACAGCGCCGCACGCATCCTCGGTGGCAAGACCATGCACGCGGCGGCGAAGCTGACGCGGAAGCAGTCCCTCGCGGCGAACAGGCTGAGGCCCAATTCCAGGGCGAAGAAGAAGTTGGAGGCCGAGTGGGAATACCTTGTGCTCCTCCTCGCCGACGAGATCGGCCTGGCTTCCCCCCCGCTCCTCGCGGGCCTGAGTCGCCGCGCGACTTTCGGCCGCAAGGACTTGCTGCGGCTCCGCGCGGACAGGGCCATCGAGGAGCCCTTCGGCCAGGTGCTCGCGCAGGCCATCATGGGCGACTTCATGCAGGTGAACCCGGTCTGCAGCCACACGCTGCTGGAGGCTCTGCTGGTCGACTCGCGCGTTCCCGGCGTCCCGCGGAAGGTCGCGGACGAGGACGAGGACGGCTGGAAGGTCTTCAGGAAGATGGCCTCCGACGTGGTTCTTTTCACTGGGACGCATCGCTTTCTCGATGAGGACCTGCCCCGGCTCTTCGAGATCATGCGCACTCCGGGAGGGGCGAGAGTGCCCGACGACTTGCGCGCGAAGATCAGAGACCGCGCGCAGCTGGGCCCCGACGACCCGAGGATGTCCATGGACTACGAACTGGAGGGCGTCAGGGGCTTCTTCGCCCTCGGCGCTCGCGCGGCGATCCAGTGGGAGCAGGTCGCGCGCCTGCAGCAGCTCCACGTGCTCGCCGCCGCGAGGGTCTGCCCGGGCCCCGTTGCCTCGTTCAACAGGGAGGACGACGGCAAGCCGGATGTCCGGCACCGCGGCCTCAGCAGCACGGCGCCTTCGGGGGCGCGCGGGCAGCTCGTGTATTACTTTCAGGCCGTCGATCGCTTCAAGCACCTGCAGAACCGAGACAGGTACCTCGAGGCGCTGAAGTTCATGAACCTCTCCAAGAGCAACGGCCTGCCGGGCATGTGCGCGGCCTACCTTGGCATGCGAGGGCGCCTCACGAAGAAAGTCATGGGCCCGGAGCTGGTGCAGGAGGCCACGGGCGAGGTTGTGGGCATCCGCTTTCACCCGCGGGAACGCTTCGGCTTCGCGCAGAACCCCGGCGGTGGTTCCGAGCAGCCCTCGCCGGATCACCCGTGCTGGGAGCGGGGGTTCGTGGTCTGCGACTATCTCCCCGTGCACCTCGAGATTCGCTGGGACGGCTGCACGGTGGGCCCCGCGGCGAGCTCTGCAAACGACCGTGCCGCTGCCACATGGGGATCGCGACTGCAGGGGGCGTGGGGGTGAGGGGTCGGGGGGCCCCCCTCCCCTCCCGGCGCATCCGAAGCCCCCCTTCAGGTTCCAGATCTGAATCCGACCTTGAGCTCGAGCTGGTCGAGTCTCGGAGTGATTCGACGGCAGCCGGCCCCGGGCGCATCGTGCGTCCAGGCAGCTCTCGCTTAGAGTCGAGATCAGTTCGCGTCGACAGTGAGTCGGATGCGGAGCGGGCGCTTGCAGAGCTCGCCCAGGTGGATTACACTGGCCTGAAGAAGCCTGGCGTGTACCATTTGGAACCCGTGCAGGACGAGTGGGAGTTGCCCGTCACGCGCGAGTTCACGGTGAATCATCCAGGCGCGGCGCGGGCCAAGCCGGTCGTCGCCAAGAGCAAGCGGAAAAAGGGGCTGGAAGTGACGCGCACGCAGCTCTCTTGGGCACCCGAGGACCAGCTCACCTTCCAGAGCATCCAGGGCCGCACCATCCGCGGGCCCGAGGGCGAGCCCAAGGGTTTCGTCGTCGACCTGTTTCGCCCGGGCACGATGCAGGGCGAGGAGCGCCAGGGGGAGTATTTCCAGCACGTCTGGATGGTCCTCGGCAGGGCCAGGAGACTGGAGTGGATGTTGCTGCAGAACTTCCCGCGCGACGAGAGCACCGGCGATCTGGATTGGTCGATCCTCGAGCAGGGGCCGCCAGACTACCTGATTGAGTTCATGGGCAGGTTGGCGACGCTCAACAGGAATACGCGGCGCAAGATGGTGCGCGAGCAGGGGAAGCTGGGGGCGCCGGCATGGGAGAACGTGCCCACGTGCCCGCCGGACCCCGACCGCCCGGGCAGGTTCTTGTACATCGCCGAGGACTGGATCAGGGCGGGCGCCGTCTGCGCCCGGTCCGTCGCGCGCCCCGCGGCCGAGGCGAGGCCCGACGCGGCCCCGCGGAGGAGACTCCGGGGCAAGAGGCCGCGCCAGGACCTGCTCTCGAAGACGGACTTGCCGACCGCGCCGTCCGAGGAGCCCGGGGAGGGTGTTTCGCTGCCGCGGAAGCGGTCGCGCGGCGAGGCTGCTGGGGAGGAGGAGGGCGAGCTGGCTTGCGGCACTGCCGGCGCAGCGCCGGCTTCCTCGACGCAGTCGACTCTGGTGTTGGCGCCGGCGCCCCGCGCCCGCGGCTGGTACTGCGACCTGCTCCGCCGCCGCATCGGCAGACCGAGGCCTGCGCCGGCGTGGTTCAACAACTCTCTCATGGGCGAGGTGGACCCCGAGTCCGGCACGCAGCTCGGCCTATCGTGCGGCTTCTTCGCGGTGAACCACTGCCTCGGCCACGCGGGCATGCGGCAGCTGTCGGCCGCGCAGTTCCGGCGGCGCGCGGGGAACGAACGTCACCCCGAGGGGGACTTCGAGGACGGGGCCCTGCGCCTGAACCTCCAGGACTGCGGGTGCCATTTCGATCTGCTGCAGGGCGCGGACCACCAGGACGCCATCCGCACGGTGGGGGACTCGGACGACCGGCTCGCAATCTTCCACGGCGACCACGCCCTGGGGCTCATCCTGCACCAGCCTGACCCCCGGCACTGGATCGCGCTCGTTCGACCGCCAGAGGCCGTGCGAGATGGCGACGCTGCCTGGCTCTGCGACTCCTTGCACTCGATGGTTTTCGCGCTCTCGGCCGACGAGGTTCAGGAGTTCCTTGGCCTCATGGGCTCCAAGCAGCTGCAGGCCGCGGACGGGGTCGGGCGCGAATTCGAACGGATGAGGCTGATCTCTGAATGGTGCGCTTACAGAGTTCACCGCCGCAGCTGACCGCTGCAGCACTGCCCGAGCGGCCCCGCGTGCCCCGCGCTGTGTCGAGGGGGGTCACTCTGGCGGCGCGCGGCCCCCGCCCCCTCGCGTTCCTCCTGCTTACGTGCTGCTCGTGCCTTTGACCAGCTTATCGTGCTCCAGAGGGCCACCGCGCTCCAGGCCTACGCCGCATTTACAGCGCTGGCAGCGACGCAGGGTCGCGCGCGTCTCAGGCCTACGCCATCCCGTCGGCCACGCTGCCACGCCGGCGCGAGCGCTGGCGTGCAGTGCCGGCCTCGTTTCACATTCCGCAGGTGTTCCCGTGTCGTCGCAGTCGCAGCCCTTGCTTGCGTTGCGAAGCTCGCGTGCGAGAGGCGCGGGGCCAAAATCATCGCCCTCCTGCGCCCCCGTTGCGTCGTGGTGCATGCGTTCGTCCAGCTATGAGCAAGTCCGTTTATTTCATGTGGAGAACGAGGCTTGCAAGCCTTGAGGAGCCACCAGGAACCGCCTTGACGCGCTTCGTTTCTCCTGGCCCATGATGTCTGCCTCCTCCCTCCTGCCTCACTGCAATCTTTATCCTTGCAATTGCCCGTGGCTCAATTGACGTTTCAGCTGCCCGCGGCCGCCGACCAGCCCGCACATCGCTGCGAGCGACATGGTCGCCAGGGCCCGCCAGCCGCCCGCTGACGGACGCCGCCCCCGGGAGCGGATTGACAAGCGGGCGTTGAAAAAGAAGGCGCCGCCCGAGGGTTCCCCTCCGGGCCCGCCCTCGGGGCCCCCTGGCGGGACCGATGGGTTCGCGCCCCCGCCGAACGATTCCGTCGGCTACTTGATCAAGGAGCCGCACATCAGTTCCTACCCCAACAAGCAGTGGGACATCAGCATTGCCTCCAATCGCACTTGGGCCCGTGGGAAGAATATATATTTGTGCCAGACGAATTCGGGCATCCCATACCCCGGCGTGCCAGGGCGTGCTCCCCCGCGAGCGACCTCATGGGTGATCCGCTTCGAGGCGACGTATTTGGAGTGCCAGGACAGACCTGCCGACGGGCCCCCCGTTGCCCCCCGTCGCCCGCCCGCTCCGCTGGGCGCTGCCCCCCCCCTGCGGTTAGACCGTTGATCGCTAGTTGCCCCCTCCGAGCCGCGGGCCCAACGCTGGCCGTCCTTTGTTGGTCCCTGCGAGGGTTTGGGGCGCGGCGACGAGTTCGACCAAACGTTCGATCACCACCGCGTCAGCCGAGAGTTGCTGAATCGCATGTACCCGCTCCCCCAGTACGCGGGCAGGCAGCTGTTCGCGTGGAAGTTCACGGACATCACCCCCGTGGCCCCGCGCTTGCTTCTCGCGCCGGTCAACGGGGCAGTGAAGAGCTTCAACTTCGCCATGGCCTTAGCAGTGCCCATGTAGCTGCGCGGCCAACCGCGCGCTCGGAGGCCGAGGGCAGCGTCGCCGCGTCGAGGGGGGCCCCTCCGGCGGCGCCGCGGCCGCGGATCTGACTCTGTCGTCGGCGCGGCCCGACGCGCTGCAGGCCTGCGCCGCTCATTTCTCACGGGGGCCGTCGCGCTCCAGGCCTACGCCGCATTTACAGCGCTGGTAGCGACGCGGGGTCGCGCGCGTTCCAGGCCTACGCCACCCTTACGGCCACGCTACCGCGCCGACGCGATCGCACATCGCGGTGCGCAGTGCTGGCTTCGTTTCACCCTGCAATGATGTTTCTGCGACGTCTCAGTCGCGGACACCCTTTGCGATACAGAGCTTGCGTCAGAGCGGCCCGGAGACGATAACATACTCCTGCTCCTGTGCTGCCACGGCCAGTGCGCGCGACTTCCGCGTCGCCAGCATCAGAAACAGCCGTGCCGCATCGCCCTTCCCCGCGGATGCGATGTCGTCGTCTTGGGCGCGTTGCCGCCAATGGGCAAGTTGATGGTTTGCGCTCGAGACATGGGGCTTGCTCGGGCGCGCTTGCGATTCAGATCCGATGCTGAAGGGGTGGCGGGCGACACGTTTTGGCATGTTTCCCAAGGGACGGCGCGGCACAGCGCAGCCCGACACAGACCCTGGCACAGTATCACCATCGTCGTTGCAATCCTAACCCGGACGAAACTGCGCCCAGAGCCCAGGGGCGAGAGGGGCTGAGAAGGACGAGGAGGAAGAGAAGAAGGAGGAGGAGGAGAAAGAGGAAGGAGGAGGCTTTCGGATCGAGGCCGGGCAGAGCGGCCGCCCGCGGACCGATCGTGGCAGCCAAGCGCTTGAGCGTGTTTGGTTTTCCTTGAGCCCTCGTAGGCCTTGAGAGCCCCCCAGAGGCTTCTGGATATATTGTGCGACCCCCGCTCAGACCGTTCAGGCCGCGCGAGCTTCAAATCCACGTCAATTTGGTCAGGGCTCCCACAGGACGGTTTGATCCACAATGACATGCTGCACAATACACTAACGCAAGGCAGGGCGCGCATTAAATCAGCGCAGCACGGCAGAGCGCAGCAGCCTGCCAATTTGTTGAAGGGGGCGGCATGGCTTCCTGCACGTGTCCACGCCGCTCACGGGGATATCTAACACGGAGGTCTCGTGGAGTGTTTCGTGAGGTGTCCCGTGCAATGTTTCGTGAGGTGTTTCGTGGGATGTTTCGTGAGGTGTCCCAGTGGACGTTTCGATTGCGATCAGCTCCAGGGTGAGTTCTGCATTCAGACAGCTCGGGCTTGAGATCCAAATTAGTTCGGCCAGGATTCGGAGGCCACGGGCGAGTTGATCCACAACGCACTTGAGCACAGCACAGTTCAGCGCACCATGGCAAATTCCAAGTCAGCGCAGCAGGGCACAGCACAGCCCCTGGCACAGCACATCGCCATCGACACCTTCAGCACTGCTTTGAAAACGCCTGGGCCTGAACAACGACAGTGGTTACCTGACGTTCATCACGTCCACGGCTGTGTATCGGGAGAAGGCTTTCGCGTCGCTCCTCTGTTCCATGATGAGTTTGTGTGCCACGCTCATGGCTTTACTCGCTTTGAGGTGCCCTTTGGGCATGTCTTGCATTATCAACGCTGGTTCTGCATATTTCTGCTGGAAGTGCCAGGACCACGTGCGGAACATCATGGCCGCTGCCCGAGATCATGTCTACTGCTAGCTCGGGGCCGTCGTCGCGTTGCCCCCGTCGTTTAGGGACGAGCGGAATGGGCGCGGAGAGAACGAGGACGAAGACCGACAGCAGTTCATGCCGTTTTTCCCGGAAAGGGCGCCGGCCCAGGGTTCTCTTTTAGTAGGTAAACCTGTCCCCCGGTGCCAACTTGAGGGAGGCCGGCGAATTTTTTCCCTGATAAATAACGAGGTCGAAGGAGGCCGGCGAATTAAAATTTGAGGATGTCTCGAGCGAAACGCTTGTTTTTGAAATCCGATCGATAAATCACAGGGTGCGGGCCACTTTTTCGTGTGTTGAGGATGTCTCGAGCGAAACGCTTGCTCCGCAGAGTTTGCCGAGGATGTCTCGAGCGAAACGCTTGTTTTGCAGAGCCGACCGCGACGCGGAAAAGCGCCACGCGCGAAGGAATTTCGATGATGTCTCGACTAATTCCTTTGTTTTTGTACGATTTCCTGGAATTTTGGCAGGATGTCTCGAGCGAAATGCACGACCCCACCCAGCACGCCCCAGCACGACCACGCCCCAGCACGACCACCTCCCAGCACGACCACACCCCAGCACGACCCCACCCCAGCACGACCACGCCCCAGCACGACCACACCCCAGCACGACCACTCCCCAGCACGACCCCAGCACGCCCAGCACGACCACACCCCAGCACGACCACCCCAGCACGACCACACCCCCCCAGCACGACCCACCCCCCGACCACACGACCACCCCAGCACGACCACGCCCAGCACGACACCCCACGCCCCAGCACGACCACACCCCAGCACGACCACACCCCAGCACGACCCCACCCCAGCACGACCCCACCCCAGCACGACCACACCCCAGCACGACCACACCCCAGCACGACCACACCCCAGCACGACCCGATCGATAAATCACAGGGTGCGGAGCACCCCAGCACGAACCCACCCCAGCACGACCCCACCCCAGCACGACCCCACCCCAGCACGACCACGCCCCAGCATGACCACACCCCAGCACGACCACACCCCAGCACGACCACTCCCCAGCACGACCCCACCCCAGCACGACCCCACCCTAGCACGACCACACCCCAGCACGACCACACCCCAGCACGACCCCACCCCAGCACGATCACACCCCAGCACGACCCCACCCCAGCAAGACCACACCCCAGCACGACCGCACCCCAGCACGACCTTACCACAGCACGACCACACCCCAGCACGACCACGCCCCAGCACGACCACGCCCCAGCACGACCACGCCCCAGCACGACCACGCCCCAGCACGACCACGCCCCAGCACGACCACCCCCCAGCACGACCACCCCCCAGCACGACCACCCCCCAGCACGACCACCCCCCAGCACGACCACACCCCAGCACGACCACTCCCCAGCACGACCACACCGCCTTGGTTGAGTGGTTGCCTGTCGTCGTGGAATGTTTCGTGGGGTGTCTCGTGGAATGTTTCGCGGGGTGTCTCGTGAAATGTTTCGTGAGGTGTCTCGTGGAATGTTTTCGTGAGGTGTCTCGTGGGCTGTTTCGTGAGGTGTCTCGTGGGATGTTTCGTGAGGTGTTGCCCAGTTGGGTATCATGAAAACGTGTCCATGCTCCACATGTCTATATCCCTTTCCGGGTTCGTGGGTCCATCATGTTGAGCAGGGCTCCCTGTCGGCATCGCCGCGGACGCTTTCCACTCGAGGCGACAAGTCGCCCCTCCAACAGCTGCCGCCGTCGGTTTTGGACGGCATCTGCTGATGGGCATCGTACCGCCGTTGCTCCATGCCCTTAAGTCGGGCATGTCCCTCTACAGGGGGAGTGTTCAAACAGAGTCAGGCATAGTCCGGGGACGATGTTTCGATTCTCTTCTGATCGTGTGTTGGGCATGTAGGATGTCTCGCGCGTGCCGCGTCCCGCGCGCGGGTATTTGGATTTCTTGGGTGTTGACAGGATGTCTCGAGCGAAACGCTTGTTTTTCATAATTTGTTGAGGATGTCTCTAGCGAAACGCTGGTTTTGCAAAATTGGAGGATGTCTCGAGCGGTGGCCTCGTGGGGGGCCAGACTTCAAAGGATGTCTCAGGCGAAATGCTTGTTTTCACGTCCCGCTCGCAGGAATTCCGAGGATGTCTCGCGCGTGCAGCGTCCCGCGCGTAGGAAGTCAGATGATTTTGACAGGATGTCTCGAGCGAAACGCTTGTCCCCAGCACGTTCCGTAGCGCGTCCCCTTGGCACGTCCCGCGGTGCGTCCCCATGGCACGTCCCTTGGCACGTCGCTTGGCGCGTCCCTTGAGACGTTCTGCGTCGCGTCCTCCTGGCATGTTCCCCTGTCCATTAGCTCTGGGCAGCTACTATGTGTTCAGGCAGCTCGAGCTTAAGATCCAGATCAGTTCGGTCAGGACTCGGATGCAAAGGAGGACGCGATCCACGAGGCTATAGAGCACATTCGCGCCATGGCACATCGCAATTCAGCACGGCGCAGCACAGCACTGATTTCGGCACGGTACATCAAGGTCGATACACTCAGCATTGCAACTTGGCACGTCCCTTGGCACGTTCCGTGGGGCGTCCTTTGGCGAGTCCCCCTGGCACGTCGCGTGGCGCGTCCCCTGGCACATCCCGTGGCACATCCATTGGCACGTTCCGTAGTGCGTCCCCTTGGCACGTCCCGCGGTGCGACCCCATGGCACGTCCCCTGGCACGTCGCCTGGCGCATCCCTTGGGACGTTTCGCGGCGCGTCCTCCTGGCGTGTTCCCCTGTCCATTAGCTCTGGGGCAGCTACTATGTGTTCAGGCAGCTCGAGCTTAAGATCCAGATCAGTTCGGTCAGAACTCGGATGCAAAGGAGGACTCGATCCACGACGCTATAGAGCGCAGTCGCGCCATGGCACATCGTAATTCAGCACGGCGCAGCACAGCACAGCCCTTGGCAGGGTACATCAAGATCGATACACTCAGCATTGCATTTGCCCGTCACCCAATCAGGTGTCTTTGAATAAGTTGCTGCCATGTGTTACGTTCTATATTCCTTTCGGGTTTCGTGGTGTCGATCATGTTTTTAGAAAAAAGTGCGTTTCGTGCGTGCCCGCTCGAGGGAAGTTCGCCCCCCATCTCGGATCCTCGATAAATAACGGGGTCCGCAGACCCCCGCTTTCCCTCGTAAAAAAGAGGGTGCGGAGCGTTTTTCGCAGAATCCTTGAAAAATAACGGGGTCTGGAGCCCCGACCGCGACTCGGAAAAGCGCCCCGCGCGCAGGAATTCCGAGGATGTCTCGCGCGTGCCGCGTCCCGAGCGC